CACAAGTAAACATCTTTCTGGTAATCTCTGGTTTCAGCCAAGATCTTTCTGATATCAACAGTGATAATATCTTTAGTCCCGTATCCTCTTCTGAATCCAGTTGCATAGATTTCTAAAAAGATTAAATTAGACACACAGTCTTTTCTTTCAAGATAATGTATTTAATATTTTCATGTCTTTAAAACATCTTAAATTATATTATTGCATGCTGCTGCTGCTATTTTTTTTTAAATACTGTAAGGGCCTTGGAAATTGCTATCCCCCTCTCTCATCTCCAATAAATGTTTGTAACATGAATGACTTGGTGAATGAAAATTGAAAACATTCCTACTGAGACTCAAAATGGGCAGCTTTACAGAGAATAGGTCTGTTGAGGCCAAAACTGTGAATTAATGTATTTTCTATGTTGTATTTAGGTTTTCTATAAAATGCCAATTTCTGTACCCATAAATTATAGTGCTGACCCAGCCAACTGTCTTTATAGATTTATGTTATTAGTTGCTAGAGAAGCAGAGTGAAAGTGTAAACCCATTACTTTTTCTGGCCAAATAAGTCTAACCACAGATAGAGTATTATTTTAATTTATGATAGAAACTGTAGCACCCAATATAGAAGTGAATGCCCTCTCCCCGTTTTCATACCCATAAATTGCATATTTGTTTTTAGTTTGAATATATCTTTTCTGTAAGTGGACATTCCTTATAAGGAATAAAAACAGAAATGCTAATTTTTCACTCACGTGAACCAACCCACCAATTCTTAGTCCTGTACCTTTTGTAGAGTGTTATTGGAATATACTATACATGCAGAACAATACATGGATCATAAATGTGTATTTTGCTCAATACGTTTTCGCATTGTGAACTAGCCATGCACCCAGATAAGGGACAGGACATAACCAACAACTCAGAAGCCTCACCTTTTCCAATCACTGCTCAAACTGACCTCCACCTTCCACCTCCCACATGGATATGCACAGCCTTGACCTCTGCATGGATTTGTTTTGCAATATTCATCCATGTTGTTGTGTTCATTGTTCATTCAATCACTGTATCTCTTTATAGTATCCCATTGCATAAGTATACATTCTGTTCTACTGATTGACCATTATTACTACCGTTCCACCTGTTGACCATTATTACTTACTTCTATTCCGCTTGATGTTTTATATGGAAGTTCCATTTGTTTTGGAACTATAGTATTGTTTTGTGTCCCTTTTGGAAGCTCAGAAGCTCTGAAACTCCTTAACGTTCTCCCTGCAAATGGGCAGTACCATAGATTGTTACTTGACTACTACTTCTTTTTCTTTGGGTAACTCCATTTTTTCTGTTTGCCTTGGTGCTCTGTGACCTTCTCTCTCTTTCTCTACCTTCTTTGGTCTAGTCTTCTCTCCACAAGATGAAAGAGTCCAGCCCATTGACCACTAGAAAAATCCCTGAGAAAATACACTTCCGGACCATTCCGAGTGAATCTTCAGATACTTTTAGTGACGTCTCCCCGACTTTGGCTGGGGATCCTCCTGAGCTGCCACTTTTAGAACAGAACAAGCCTCAGACTGATATGCAGTTTGACAATGAAGAGGATGTGGAGGCCTTGGGAGCAGCAGCCCCGCTTTTACCAACAAGTGAAGAACACAAATCCCTTTCTGCCAATATAGCCCAGACAGCAAGCAAGACGGACTCTCCTTCTAGAAAAAAAGGTACAAAGGCTGAGTTTCCAAAATGTATATTCCTTTCTTTAAAAAGCCCAAGGTAAATCAAGTAGAACCATGGCCTCTATGATGGTCAACCTGTGCTCCTTACCTGAACATACTGATTTCCAGAATTTAGTCATAGGAAATCAGACTTAAAAAACCTTAAGGTCATGTCCTAAACCTCCTCATGTTGCGACTGGGATTCTTGCGGGCCAGAGGAGCTAGTGTGCTCAAAGGTATTGGGTAGATGTTCTCTTTGTCACTATAGGCTCCATATAAAGGAAGTTTTAAAAGTTGATTGTTAAGCTAATCCTGGTCCCCTTGCCCCAATCACTCTTGACCCAATGATGTTAAGTGCCACTCAATGTGTTCCACCTCATAGTGACCCTGTATAGTTTCTGAGGAGTGGCTGGTGGGTTTGAAC